TCTACGTCGTTCTTTGGTAAAAGGAAGAAGCTCACTTCTGTCTTACAACTTTTTTCTGTTTTATTTGGGCAAGATTTTACAATGCACCGTACCATATTGACCCGCGTTACTCCTAATCTGTTTAATAACTCGAAATCACGTGGTCCTACTGTGGATTCTTGCCGAGAAAAGAACACAATATGCACATATAGCAAGGTGTGACAAAGACGCATTCAAATCAGTCGTAGTAACTTAGCAGCATCAAACATTTAATTTTTCACAGTTGGCAGGCCTAGGTAGTGAACGGTACCTCGACGTGAAAAGGGGGCGTGGTTTCGAAGTTTTGAGCTCACCATGTAATGTTTCCACCATGGGTGTGGGTCGTCGTGACCGTCCGTGGTCCGGAATCGCCGGACGGGGACGGACTGGTGTCGTGTCGGTGCTGCCCTGCGTCGCGCGGCACTCTCAAATAAGCGGAATCGCCGGACCATTGGAACCACCGACGCGCATCTCTCGGCCGGAGGGGGCGAGATTTCGGGGGTTAGAAATTCACCGCGCGCGCGGGACCGCGAGGAACCCGTCGATCGGGAGATTCGAGGAGGCCGCGGCGCGCGTAACCGCGGATGGATGGGCTTTTCACACCGGGGTTTGGAAAAATCTCTAGGAACCTCTCTCGTGGCTCTCGTCGGGTTGGGCGCGATCAGCAGCGACCAATGAGCGCGATGGACAAATTCGTCCCGTAACCCGAGCCGAGCCGAGTCTCGGCTCGGTCGCGCCGTCGCGGTGCCTTGCCCGATCTCGCGCGAAGATTGGCGAAGATGCGCGAGCCGATCAGTTGACAGTTTCGACTCCGTCCGTGTCGCGTGTCGTTTTTTAACGTCGGATACTGGAGCCGCACGAGATGAGCCGCACGATATCGGCCGTATCGGCGTGATACTGAATTATATATACTCCAACTTCTGACTTGAGAGAAAAGTGAGAGAGTCTCTCGGCGTGCGCAAAGTATGACGGAGATAGAATGGTGAGAGAATTTATTTCCGTTCAAGTGTCCGCTCGCACCTGTTATTTCTGACAATCGTTATTGCGATAATAAACGATTTTGCTCCTTGCGCGTAAGAAAGTGGAGTTTTTTTTAAGCAAAAAAATCTTGTTGCAGGATATCAAAACCCATGGAGTATGGGAATATCGTGAAGTTTGCATGCTTAGAGGAAGCTACGGATCACCCCCTGAAACCGGTTGTAATCACTGTAAGAAATAGCTGCTGGAGTATTTGGAGTATTGCCTTGTAAACGTTTCAATTTCTCAAATATATGAACAAATTTTTATTAAAAAAGACCTTTTTTTACGCTTGTACAGCTAATCGATGGACGTGGCGCAGCCAGACGCGGCGCGCTGCGAAGTACGAGTACCGGCTCCTCCACAGGAACACCGACACCGACGCACACGCCGATCCCTGCGAATCCGCTGAGCGACCCGTTGCTAAGTCATCCTTCCCTCGACGGCTCCGATCCCCTCACGCAGTTTGCTCGAGAAGAATTGGATCCTCTCTCTAAAATGGCTGCAGACGAAGTAATATATATACAATTTAATAATATCTCTATACTACAATAGTTTAGAATTTTTACAACGCGTTTATATTATTTATGTTTACAGTGGGATTATTCTAACGTCGCATCCGCGAGTAAAAAATCAAAAGACACGGCGGAAGAATTGGTAGAGCCGTGGTCTGTTAGACGTTCCGCTATACTGAGTAAATACACGACCTCCGAGAAACTGTCAATTGTCACCAGCTTCTTGCCAGGTGGAGAGAAAGGTGATTTACTTCTTCAAAAGGATTAATTTAACTTTACAAATCTGTAAAGTTAAATATAATCTGATCTAATTAATCTGTATATACAAATACAGTATTGCTCATTTTAAATTGCCTATAAAAACAGCTTTTTAAATCGTTGCGACGTCGCTTTTGTCACAGTTGTAGTGAAGGTTCAGCCGAGCGGGCCGATGGTCGACAAGGTGAAAACGCGACTCGAACAATTGGACGACTTTGAGGAAGGCTCCGTTAGGCAAATGCTGGACTTGTCGCAGCAACAGTACACCGCGCGAATCGAACAATTGAACAACGAACTAGTGCAAGCCTGGCATTCCGACCAAAGAGTGAAGGCGCTCAAAATTGCGATACAGGTTTTTCATACGTTCGTTTACCTCCAATTAGATCTTAGGGCGAGAGACTTACCGATCTCTGTATTAACGCTAAATTATTTCAGTGTGCCAAATTATTAGTAGATACGTCCGTAATGGCTTTTTATCCGAGCAAGTTCGTTCTCATCACAGATATCTTGGATATCTTTGGAAAACTTGTGTACGAGAGATTGAAAATGAAGGCCGAGTACTACAAGTAATTATTATATAAGAAGACTCTTAGGATTTTTTTTTAACTGCATGGATTTTATTTTTTTTTGTCTCGCACAGTTACAAACATAATTCATAGTTGTTAATATTTCTTTTCTAGACCAGGAAGTAAAGTACCCACGAGCTTGCCGGATAACTTCACACCCGACATGGTTCCTGAGAACGCGAAGGAGACGTGTCGCAATTGGTTTTACAAGATAGCTTCGATACGCGAACTGGTGCCGCGTCTGTACGTAGAAATGGCGATAATAAAATCGTACAGTTTTCTAACGACGAGGTAAGACTTTCGCACTCGTAATATCGTAACAATACGAAAGTTGAAATATTAAAGCGACGCGTTTATTTCAGTGAATTTAACACCGCACTGCTACGCATAACTCGTATGATAAGGGGTATCGGAAATCCGTTGATTGCGGTTTACGCGAGGTGTTACTTGTGCCGCGTGGGATTGGCACTGAACAAAACATCGGACTTCGAGTTTGTGAGGGAGAACTTGTACGACTTTCTTTTTACGTACCAGCAGCTGTTCGGGACCGCCGTGAGAAACGAAATAGTGAAGCAAAATGTCACCCTTCACTCGTACCTTAACTTGTATTCGCCGGCTTTGGATTGGATCGTACAGGTCTTGGTCGCGACGTCGCCCGAGAGCCTTCTCGAGGAGGTTCTGTCTCGATGTAAAAAACAGGAGAACGGGTAAGATATATTTTAAACGTGCGCTCTTAATTTATCTTCAATCTTTAATTTTTGCCTAATCGACACGTATATACGCTTTCAGATCGTTATTATTAAATACAGTGCTGACTGCATTTAAACCGACGTATATTGCCGTGCGTGCTATGGACTTCGTTAATTTAATAGTAGCGAGTGAAGACGATGGTACATTGAGATTAAAAAAAAAATACAAGCCAGGAGTATAGAGAGTAATATTTTTTATTTACGTTTCCTCCTTTTAATTCGATAGGATATCCTCAGTATCTCTTGTATCGAAGTTTGGGAGAATGCCTTGTACGAGAATCTCCGCCGAAAGAAGACTGTCAGTCGGTGCTTAACGTGATATGGAAGTACATAACGGATCTGACGGATCCCAACAAATTCATGCATTGCGTCGAGATCTGGATTCAATTCACTGTCATACACTTTTCTGTAAGTTTTACGCGAATAATAATTATACTTTACATTTAATTAAATTATATAATATTATTATATAATATGTATGTGTGTGTGTGTGTTGCAGGTAAACGAACTAAATTTATTTTTCGGCAAGATAATAGACCGGCTACGACCGAACAAAGCTTTCGAAAATTATTATCCACAGTTGCAGAATATTATTGAGAAGATAGTCGCCCACACGCAAGACTTCGAATCGCTGCTTGCCATGGTAACTATTTGCGCACTTATGTTACTCGTATTTATTCAATGAGTCATTTTAAAAACATTCAATTTGTCATGAACAATCTGATTTGTTTTGCAGGACAATTTTTTACCTCTAATCGACCTGTTTCACAAGGAAAGCGTTAAGGTCGAAGTTTGTAAAACTGTCATAGAGGGATTGAGTGCGCAAAACGGGCCTATTACGGATCCTATTATTATAAACGCCCTGATGTTCATCGCAAGAATAATGCACGATTCCGTCAGGTAATGCCAATTTAATTTCACGATGTAAAGTGTTTAGCCCGCGTCTCTGAAATCGAACGAATCAATGCAGCGCTCTGACCGTCGAGGATGAGAAACGGCAGATCGGACAACTGATATGCGGCCTAGTGCAGCGGGTGGATTACGGTCGCGATTTTGAGAAGCAGCTTAGTTTTTACGCAGAGGCCAGGGCAGCGTTTCCCAATCTCGACAGCGTTCATATACAACTTATACAAGTACGAGACACGGTTATACTGCTCTTCCTTTTTACAATATTTTTACCTATATATTAAAAAAATCAATTCAGAGATCAATAAAATCATCTTTTTATTTGCGCTCAGTGCGTGAATAGATTATCGGTTGATACTAGGAAGATAGTACGTGGCCACCACACGAGGAGAACGTCGGCATTTGTGCGCGCCTGTGCCGCGTTCTGTTTCATCACGATACCGTCGTTAACTTTAGTCCATACGCGCCTTCAGTTATACCTACTGTCTGGGCAGGTCGCCCTTTTGAATCAATGTCTAGGCCAAGGTGCGAGTCGAATTAATTTTCATTCAACATTAACATACTTGTCAATTTATTTCGTTTATGTGTGCAAATCGGTATTTATTTTTCAGCCGACGCCTGCTTCAAGGCTGCTTTAAGTTTAGTTCCGGAAATGCCGAAAACCATCGACATCGATGGAAGACAGAAAAGCTCACAACCGTTTCTGCTCTCGTACTTGTCGAATTTCCTGTCAACGTTGTTAGTGGTTCCCGTAAGTATTACCGATGTACGCGCTACGTTTTAACTTTATGATTTTAAGATTGCTCCGCTGTGTCATAGGACAGCCCGGAGCACGGTGTCCTGTACTTGATGAGAGGCTTGCTCAATGCGGTCCAGCGTTGCTTCGAGGAGAACACCTCAACGAAACCGTATTTGTATTTACGCGTACTCGATCTTCTCGCGACGGTCGCACAAGAAAATTATCCGTACCACATCGACAAGGTATGTTCCTTACACTTGCACGCGTATTTGAAGGGACACGTAAATAGCTGCGATATTTACGATACTTTCAAGTTGGAGAAATTAATTGTAATCTAAAGATTTGTATTACACGATGACATTTACAGGTTGACTCGAACGATAAATTGTACGGATCGGATCAGAAATTCATTGGCGAAGTCAACAAAATATGTTCAAAGATCGTGGAGGAAATATTGAGTCATCTGAAGTACCTCGGATCTACCGAGCAATTCGATAAACAGTCGGTCCTGGCACTCGAGCTGTTTAATTGCTTCATTATCCGCGCAGATTTGCGGGATGCCGCATTAGCGAACATGGCCGTAAATTTGTGGCACTTGTCGCAACGGCACAATTCGGTGGATTCTAAAGTGACGGTAAATATACGCAGTAATTTGAATTTAGATTTTCTACATTGTTTTGCTTTTGCAATTTTTTTTTTATTATTTCCAATATTCTTTTCAGATGAGAACAAAGGCTTACATGACGCAGAAGAGTCACCATCGGGAATACGAGCATTTTGCCGAAATACTCAGAAAAATGCAGCCGAGATGAATGATACCTTGCCGATTAATCAGGATCCAGCTTGAACATTTTTTTATTGGCAGTTGTGTTGAAAGACATTTTGTAATTGTGCAATAATTTTTTCGATTACGCGAATCAAGCCGGTTAGCAGAAATAATAGCAGAAAGATCAATCGAAATATAAATTATAACAATCAATTGTTAAAAGTTAATATACGTTATAATAGTTGATTGTTAAGCATCACTTTATATACTATATTTTCTAAAATATGGCAAATAATGCTCAAAATATGACATAATCGATATATTTATACTTAATAAAAATATTCGCTCAGTTCTAAATTTGTTAAAGAGTACATTCATGTCAGAATCTTGCACTTTTTCTGGACCGTATATCGAACTATGCATACATACAAGACAATCAAATTGCTTGTCATTATCAATTATGTTGTCATTAATTTGTCATTTGTCATAAACTATCCCCATAATGTAACTGCCATAGAAAAATAACGGTTATTTTTATAGACTTCGTAAAACACACGATATAACTCCATTACTGGAAGACATCTGATTTGGAAGACACGAGAAATCGTCAGAAGAGTATTCTTATTGTTTTAACACAGTGCGAAGGGCGTCCAGAAATATATCGGCATGACGCTCCGTGAAAGTCAACGCGGGCCTGAGCCGCACCGCCCGGCTGCCGCATCCACCTGTCTGGATACCTAATAAAAACACGAGAAGGTATGAAAACCTAAGAGATATTCTTGGCGCTCGCGTTTTTACTCTGCGATATCCGCCTTACCTTTCGACGCGAGTTTCTTGATAATGCCGTCTCGCACTTCAGACGAGGCGCAATTAAACGCTATGAAAGTGCCACGTCCGCGCACCGCGCCGATTACGTTGGAATGCTCCCTCTGCATATCCATCAGATACTTCAACATGTAGTCGCCGACGCGCGTAACCCTGTCCAAAAGGTTCTCCTTCTTGATCGTTTTTATGATCGTTTCGAGCAGTATCACTTTGCTGGGATCGCCCATCCAGGTATTGAACACACGATACGACAGTTTCGGTCTGCGTGCAGGGGCGTTAATCAAACGTTAATGCTTGAAACACGACGACGATGTTTTATATTTTTTATGAAAAAAAAAAAAAAAGATATTTACTTCAGATCCTCCGAATGATAATAGCCGCCCAATTGCATTTTCTTGCTGAAAGTCATCACCTCGGGCGCGGTATCTAGATTGAAGTGCTCGTGGCACCACATTTTTCCCGTCGGTCCGCCACCGGTTTGCACCTCGTCGATAAGTAACGCAGCTCCGTGCTAAAAATATTTTAACGCGAGATTGCACATATACATCTCGTTCTCGTCTACGCGCGGTAAGATAATTTCCTCGCGGAGTCTTAATTAAGCCTCTACCTTTCGCGTCACGCGTTGAAGTTCCTGAAAGAATTCCGGCGACGCGTGATTGTCGCCGCCTTCCGCTTGGATAGGTTCAATTATCACGCCGGCCACCGGTACTTTCTTCTCGTTTTTGTACTTGACGAATAGTTCCTCGACCTGAAATTAATTATGCTCTTAAAATCTTCTCTTATACGCGAAACGTACATTAAGAGACATTTAGAAGAACGGTGTGACTTTTGATCGACTTGAAATTAATTATGTTCTTAAAGTCTTTTCTTTATACGCGAAACTTATAAGAGACATTTAGAAGAACGGCATGACTTTTAATCGACGATATATATTATATACCTCTGCGAGGCAACGCTTATCCTCCTGCTTGTTTTCTCGCACGTTCTCTTCTAAAGGATATTTGTACTCTGGAAAGGAGGCGACAGGCCAGTCGAAGGCCGGTATATCCATCTTATGAATGTACTTGCTGTGGGTCGTCGAGAGACAACCTAAGGTTCTTCCATGAAAGCTACCTGTCGATATTAAACGTAAAGATTCCCAAAATTAGAATGAAAACTTTTGCTCTCTCGCTCGGACGGAAGTAAACCGACCTTTAAAAGACATGATAGAGTATCGCGGCGAGCCAGGGCTTTGATTTATCATACACGATTCTATCTCTTCCTTCGTGAACGGCGCCCCTTGTCTCTGTTTCTCGGCGTACCATATAAAAATGTTTTTAAAAGCGTTCTCGTTGGAACAAGAGCCGCACATCATCGTCGTGATGTGCGTTAATCCGGGTGGTGCAAACTGTCCGAAATAATAATTCCTATTAATTAAATTAAGCGCGAAGAGATGATAGACGACAGAAAATTGGACTGTATAATTCTACAGCGTCATACCTCTTTCTTGAGCAAAACATCCCTTAATCTATTAGGCCAGTCTTTTCCTGGAAAGACACCTAACGCAGGTCTGTTGGCTATAATTTTCTGGAAAAATACGTCGTGCAATCGTTTACTTTTCGTACAACTTGGATACATTATTTATATACGTTGAGCAAAATAATTCACAAGATATTTCAAGAAATATGTAATACGCTCGATTTATACTGGAACTTTATCGAACATTATACGCGACGTACTTAAAGCTGAAGTGGTATATCTTGTAAAAGAGATTAAGCATGCAAAATCCCGCATATGAAAAAAGATACGGTACTCCGGGGCGACGGAGTGCCTTTATATCACTCACTTGATTAACGGGATCGGCGAGAGCCTCCAACATCGCCGGATGATTGTACCCTAGGGGCATTGATGAGATTTGCATATAAACGTCCAGCAACGTGTTCCCGTCAACGTCTATTATGTAATTACCGGCGGATTTTTCATAGTCTGCGAAGAATTGTACGGAAGACGCTTGCTGAAGTCACAGATTTCAACATTGTAAGACCCAGTTTTCGTCTCTGGCATATTTACAAAAGATTTCACATTATTACTCGTATCTTATACGTATTATACTTCGATTCTACATTACAATATACATATAGCAATTCTATATGACAACAGTGAAGCTCTTAAAGTAAAGCTACGACGCGTTAAATTAATTAAATTATCGGACTGAAATTCGAGCGAGGCGAGGAGCTCGAAAGATCGTGTGTCGCAGATGGCAAACATGCGATTTAATTGGTAAATTACACAAAATACGGGCGCCGTGACGTCACCCCAAAGAATCAAGAGTGTCTGACGTACTTGTATCGCATTCAGTTCTTGTAGCAAGCTGCGCGATCGAGGGCCCGGTATTTCCGTCGTAAGTACCGGCCCTTCTGGTTCCCTCGGCACCGAACCGGTTAAGCATCTCTTCGACGTGGCAACGCCTGCACGACAACATTATACTCTTATATATGTAAACACCCGTGCATTCCTATACGCGCAATTTAAATATATTATTTCCTTCGTAGAGAAATGTACGTGTGCATATCAATTTTCCTGCGCTTTTGGGATTTCGCATGTCCATATCCCGCGCAGAAAAACAACTTAACTCGCTAAATTGTTCAACAACTCTGCTGATCACTTCCATTGACGGTAGTTAAGGATGATTGCTTGATATATTACTACGATTTTACGTATCTGAACCCCCTCGTAAATCATTAATGTTGCAAATTGTAATTTGCCATGACGTAGCACGCTATTAGACGGTACAGTAAACGCGTCAAGTAAAATATGAATAAAAAAAACCAGAGATTGTAACGTCTTTTATACTGGACAAACAATGATGTTATTAAAAACAAGGATTTCCACAATCTTCGAATTCGAAATTAAAAGATTACATTTCTCAACATTTCATAACAACTGATTGTAGGATCCGGCAAACATTGTGTGATTTTAATTGAGATAACATGTTTTGGATGAGCTCTCCTATCTCAGATAACAGATGTGTGCTCGATATCTGAAGATGCTTTTTATTATCAGGAGATAGAATTCGATTGTACAAATTTGCCAAGTAATACAAAGTTGATGATAAGCTTGACAATGTTTATTTTTCGCGTTATTGAACAGGAAAACTCAAATTTTACGCTTTTTTTTCATCAAGAACTGATTGTTCAAAATAAAAAGATTATAATAACGAGTACCTTCACTTTATTTGTTGAAACCTGTTGGTTTGGAAAGTTTTGGAACGCGCTAAGCTATATTTTGCACAAAGCTGATTTAAAATTAGCATTTCAACATCTGAGGATATTCAAACATTCGACGAAAGCAAACATTTCTTTTCGGCTGCAAGCTATTTAAAGTTTTGAATAATAACAACGAAATCATGACAGATATTTATAGTAACTCTTTGCTAAAAATACAATGTCCAGAGTATCCAATCAAAGATTGGCACTAAGAACTACATTGAGAGAATCAGTATAATTAATAATATATTAATTAGTATATTAATTCCCCTTTCAGTATAATTCGCTACTTTTGCGATCGCTCGAATCCGCAGAGGGATTTGAGGTTCGCGGGGCGGCGAAGCAGCTGGAGAGCCGCGAGATGAATTTATCGATTTTGTCACGGTCCACGCAGCATCCGCGTTGGAGCGGCATGCTCCAGGATAGATTCCCGTCGTCCCATTTATGTGAACTACACGAATATCCGACGAGGAGGAAACGGAGTAATATAAATACCGTTTAGCAGCTGCCGGAGCGAGGTCCGCCCATTCAATGCACGGTGATACTTGTTAACGAGCATTTTCCGTCGGAGGCGAGAGCACGGACACGAGGGCTACTCTCAGCTAACGTCGTCTCTGCCGAAGGGATGGAGCCGTACTGGTCGCTGATACGCGCTGATAGCGTGCACCCAGTAAAAAGAGCCGAGAGTCTCGTGGGGGCGCGAGTTGCTCGAGCGGCCGCTTCTGCTCGGAGAACGAGAGAAAGAGCGAGAGAGAGGCAGAAAGAGAGAGCGAGAGAGAGAGAACTTCTCTCGTGTATCGCTCCTCGTCGCAGGGACTTACGACCGGTCAATTTCAGAGAGCGCCGAATAGGCACCACAAGTATCAATATTCTGCCCGATACTGTGCGGAAGGAAGAAAAAATTCAGCACGTACGGCGAATATTTGGCAGCGCGTGTGAAAGGTATCGAAGGCAACAAAAAAAAAAGAAGGAAAAGAGAATTCTCTTTTTCTTTCGTCGGTCTCTTTTCGCGATGCACTGACTGCGAAAGCGGCCGCTGATTAATGCGAGGTATCAAATTGTCCTTGCTTGCACAACTGTCTGTCTGGTATATCCGTCTCACCCGCCGTCAGCGAATACCGCTGCGCTTCGTGTCGGGAATAGTACTGCAGTTCCAACGGTTTCACGTGGCGCGACGCGGTGAAAGTGAAAGTACAAATTCGGCTCTTTTTTCCCTCATTGATCGCGCCATTTAAATGCGTAACGAAATTGTATACATATTTTTTCCTTCGGAAAGAAGAGCCCTCCTTTCAAAAGTCCCACGTCATTGTATATCCCCGTACGTGCGTTTATCGCAGTCATTTATGACTGCGCCGTCACAGTTATGTCGCATAATTAATTTGTAATTTGATGTCAATTTGATGTTAATCAAATTGGACTACATAATTAATTGAGCTAATCGAGATTCTCTGTTATTATCATACGTACATATTATTCACAAGAATTATCGAATTTCGCGGCGCGATCGTTATTTGATTGCCACTAAATAGTACAGGTATAAATATGTATATATCTATGGGCACGTGCTCTCCAGTACACATAGCTGAAAGTGTTTGCGCTGCGCTTGACCCCATTGCTGTCAAGGCGGAAGGCAAATAAGTTACGATTGCTCTTGTCTCTTGAGACAGAGAGTACAAAGAATGAGCAGAAGAGCATGGATTCCGGGGTTCCGAGCGAAAAAGCGATGAAAACCAATCCAGTCAATCAGGTGGATCTTATGCTTGACAGATATATAGGGCTGCCGTATTTTTCGCAAAATACCTTCGGACGTGCGGGCGCGCGAATCGTGACTGCACCCGGCACCTCCCGGTCGGCGATGCGTTTTCGAGCGAACGGACCGGATGGACCGCGAGCGCGCGCTGATCGAGGATTTTCCAGCTTCCACTCTGATCATCCCCACTATGTAGCCGGGGCCCATCCGCGCAACTTACCTGGAAACCACGCCTCAAAATCCTGTGTGTGCCTACGGGTTGGAGGTGGTTTTTTGGGCAGCTCGGGGCCGCCGCGCGACGCACGCACATTGTCACTCGCTTGAACGCACTCGAGTGGGCCCATACACCGATCGTGCGGAAAGACCTGTCTTCCTGGGTGACACGAGCCTGCAATCCGCGCGGAAAGAGCACCCCGTCGGATTCTCACCTGCTTAACAGTCCGATCACGCCGAGCACGTGCACTCGAGTGAGTATATGACTTTGCGGTACCTACCGATTGGTATACTCCTATATACCTGTCGACATTCATATATCTTTGTTAATACGCGACGAAGAGCCGGCGAGATGGATCCTGCGATTTCGAAAATACATTTAATTGTAGAATCAACGTCGATCATTTCGAAGATCGGTTGCCCAGAATTCTTCTCCGCGAAAGGGAAGTTTTTATACGAAAAATAACAGTCAATTATATCGATAAGTGTATTGGTTCCCTCGCGTACCTATATTTGTGCTCCGAGCGAAGCAGCTCGCAACACGAGATCTCGTCTTTAAAACTCGACTACACTTATAATTTTTAGTCTTCAAATGAATTTGATGTTGTGACCTTGGCCTGACGTGGAAACAGGAGGCGCGTCAGTTCTCCTTTTTTCCTTTCTCTCTCTTATTTTGCCATGTCGCCGTATTCTTAAACCGGTGTAAACCCGGCGATTCCAATGATTTCGCGGTTAGATAGGTCATCGATCCCTGCGTTCGATCAATTATTCATTTTTTTTTTGTTAGAGACAAAGTGCAAACGATAACGCGATTTAGCTATTTATCGAAATATTATATTAAACGTTCGTTGATCGTCAATAAATTTTTATTGTTCATTGTTATTGAAAAATTACTTCTGCAATGCATATATCCGATGCACATTTGTGCGAGCCTTACCGGGAGAGGTTTCGCGCTCTCCCGTGTTTCCAACTCTCGATATGTTAATAATTAACATAATTTATACTAATTTCAGGGAAATTAACAAGAATTTTACAAGTGTTTATATGCCACGAGATTATTAACCGATAAAGTGAACTGCGCTCGGAAGCGACCCGTAATTTACTTGACTGCAACTTTCGAATCGCGCGGTCGACCCAATATACGAAGAGAATACAAACGTCGATAATTTACGATCGCTCGCATTTATACAGCTTATTGGCTTATCCGTACATTTTTTTCCCGCTCGCATGACATATTTATGAATCGAGATAATAAGCCAGTCGATAAAAATGTCACTATAGCTCCCGCCGGTGCGTAAATTTTGGTAACGGGAGGGTCTTGTACAGTTAGAACATAGTTCGGAGCGCGAAAAAAAAAGATTAATCGCCTATACGGTTCTATAAATTTACGAAATCTAACGGAAGAAGATGGACACCATAACTTCGGGATGATAGAATTAATGAACGACGTTCGTCGAATATATAATAGTATAATAACGTGAAATTTAAATCGGACTCGTGCGCGAAATCGTTTTCTTTCCGGTCGTTCGCTTCGCAAAGGAATCCGACCCCACTGTTTATATTCCCGAAAGCCAAAGTTCCATTCATCTCGCACTTTACGAGCGCGATTAGTATCGCGCCTCTTCTGAAAATCGGCTCTCGTGGAAGGAGTGCTAAAATCGTGCGGAGCGGCGAGAGAAGGAGGAGGAACATTGTTGTCAGAACCGGACAGCCTTGCTGCTCTGTAAGTGTTAGATTTATGCCTCCCATCGCCGTGTCGCTATGTCACTTTGAATTCCATTACGTCGCCCATGTCTTCGCGTCTATCTCACGCGAATTCCTCGAGGCGACCTTTTAAACGAAATTGGCGGTGATCTCCTTCATTTTATCACTGCGATTTGATAGCGCCAGCTGCTCTCGGCGAAGGTTAACCGGCTCTGTTTCACATTCGATGAATCCTTCGTTTTATTTGGACAGGGTGAATGTGTCTCATTGTGGCACGTATCCCGCGCTATTGCGCAGGCCACTTTTTGATCAATTTAAACTACATAAACGGCATATTTTATTATACACAATGAAATATTGAACAAACAATAAAATCTAATGCATGTATAATGACACTGCGTAAGCGGATTATCGTATACACAATTAGTATTAATTTTGATATAAATTAATTTTAAATATTAATATTAATTTTTTGGCATTAATTAACATTTTATCAGCATTATCATATATTAGGTGTCGGATTATTCATGCGTTTGAGGGTTACAGTTATATCATTGGTTAAAAAAAAAACCTTGTGGAACTTATTACCGTTATCTTCATTTTCAAATCGAAGCATCTGTCGCGAATGATGAATCTACGGTTCTACCTCATCAAAATTCGACGCGCGATTCAGCAGCTGATTGAGATTGCGGCACTCTAAATGGTTCGTATTAGAGCCCCGGCCTAATGGAGGCCGTCACTTGAGTTCGTCACCATGTATCTCGTCGCGTGTCAAACAGCTGCCAATGACACGTGTATGGTCAGCGAATTCCACCACGGTACGCTAATCCACGTGTCAATAATCGATAAATTTTTTATGAATAATCAACCTGGACATTGAGATTTATTCTAAAAATTGACGTAAAAAAAAATGTTTGCTCTCCGTCCGCTGAAATAATGTCCGAGAGAACAATCCTTGGCGCCGATCTTAATCCTACAGCTACGTGTATCGCTTGTTAATACGTGACACAAGTGCCAAATGACGTTCTTGCCATTATTGTCGTAACGACACCATTGGCACAATATACTGGCTATTGCTTCACTTTCTTACGCAAGATTGGGCTTCTACCAGCTGATTCAAGGACGTCCGCCAGCACAATCTCGTTTCATTGTAATCTCGTCCCCCGTCGTTCGAAGGCGGAACTCGTTGTTATGCGATTGAAAGCTTTGGACACATACACCACCATATACACACGACGCCTAATTCAAGTCGGGAATAAGTTCCCGCATGCCCCGTGGATGCCCCTGAAAACTTGTCCTAGGAGTCGAATGCGAGATGAATGCGAAGCTCATAATTGACCGAGTTAATACAATGCTCGACGTCGACGACGCGTTGCATCGCCTCGTTTGTTTCATAATGGATTTTTTTTTATCTGTCTGTAACAAAGAACGATCGCGGATAGCGCCTTTTCTGTATTTTTTACACGCATTGCCGCAATTCATTATTTAAAGATCAAATCTTCTCGAATAAGCAGGAACACTCTACTAACTGCTGTAAAATGCCGTATGATTTCAGGAAAAAGAAAAATGATCACCAGGCATCGGCGAAACGATATGCTGCTCGTAATGTTATATTTCTTCATGAAAGTAAGACCGCATTTCTTTTAAATCGTATAATTATACGCGAATGGAGATTAAGACTGTTGACAGGGCCTCCACTCTCTCGATCGCACGGACCGTCCGTTTTTTCTGTTTTTTGTTTTTTTTTTAAATAAATGTACGTTTTAAGGAAGTGCGAAAGGCCTTGTTTTTTCGCCAGTGGCGACGAAAGTTCGACTCGTTTTTTTCAATAACCCGATCCTTTAATATGACGCCCAATTCACCTCGCACAATTCGCCCCGTTTCGCAAGCACTTTCCCGCAGACGCGCCCTTAATACCTCACGCACGCGAGTAAAAGTTAACGAGGTCGCCCGTTTACTGGCAGTGCGATCGAAGAAAGGCGCGGAGAGTAACAGTCTCGTTTTTTTTTTTGCGCAATTATTTGAATTACTTCTTGCACACTCATACCTACCTTTTGTCGCGGACCTTTTTGAAAAGGCGCCCGATGTGATCCACGGCCACGGAAGATTAATGGATCCGCCGTCGAGGAATGCGATGTGGAGGTTCGGCTACCCAAATCCGGTGAATTATAATGACAACGAGCTCTTCTGCGGGGGCTACGCAGGTACTCTCTTCGTGTATGCAAGTCGCGATTAATCCGCCGTAATCAGCGCGGACGTTCGGCGTTAATAAGAGCTAATATTGACGATGGCTATCATGTGTTCGCCCAGTGCACTGGCAGCAGAATAAAGGCAAGTGCGGCGTTTGCGGAGACGCCTATCACTTGAGTCAACCGCGTCCGCACGAGGCCGGCGGCGAGTTCGCGAACGGGATCATCGTGCGGCACTACACCGCGGGCCAGGTAACGTAACTCCTGGCCATTTTTGAACGTCGTAACGCGTGCGAAGTCACGTACAAGTCGCAAGATTATTTACGTTTTTATATATAACATCGTTTTTGCGAAAGAAAAAAAAGAAATACGCTCCTGAGAAACTTGTAATAATATAAGTACAATGTCAGTATTGAATCTGTTTCGAGGAAATCGAAGTGGAGGTCGAGCTGACGGCCAATCATTACGGAAGGTTCGAGTTGTACCTCTGCCCCAACAACGATCCGTCGCGCGTGGCAACTCAGGAGTGTTTCGATTCGTAAGTGTGATGTCCCTGATGCGCGATCCGGAGTTTATTGTAGGCACGACCGCACTGCTGTGTCTCGCTAATGCTTAACCTTAATTCGCACAGCTATCCCTTGTACGTGTCCAGGACGCAGGACGTTCGTTTTGAGATTCCGCGCGACACGGACAAGAAGGGCGTCATTAGGTACTCGGTAACGTTACCACCCTATTTAACTTGCTCGCAATGCATTGTGCAGTGGACTTATTACACAGGCATGGAAATTTTATCTGTATTTTACTTTCTCCGCCTCTCTGTCGCTCCGCGGGCGATCTCTTACGCGCGACTCCGTTTTTTTTTTTTCTTTTGCTCATCAGGGAACATGTGGGGCACGTGTGAAAACGGCACGGAAGCGGTCGGATGCGGCAGGCCGGAGACCTTCCGCAATTGCGCCGACGTGAGCATCGTCACCAGCACCGGTGGGATACCGCCGCGGTTCCTGTATCAGAATATTATCTACGAGCTGCACTCCGTGGCGGCGAAATACTCGACCGCGCCGCTCGCGCGGCCGCTGAGGTGAGAGTGTAACGCGATTAGCGTTTAAAGAGCCGCGCGTGCATGTCGGCGCGCCGAGAACGCGCCGCGCTCGTTCTCGATGTTCCGACACGCACACGCGCGCGTGTTTCACGTGGGTTTCACGATATTTTTCAGGGTTCAAGTGTGCGAGCCAACCGCGGCTTATCGATACCGGCAGAATATGACCAATTGGTGTCAAGTGAATTGCATTCGCGTCCCGTCGAACTGTCCGCCGGGTGTTTGCCGCTGTCTGTGAGTATACATTCAATTTGATCGGCGATGCGCGAGTTTAATAAGCGACTTAAATTGTCGCATTGCCTGAATCGCATTAAAGGATCAAAACGGTCGTGAACTTTCGCGTTCCTTAAAAGTTCTCCGCTGATTCTCCTGACTTCCGACTTCCTGTGATTGCAGAAACACCTGCGACGCCATTGGAGATATCGCCGATAGACCCGGAGCGGACCAGTACTGCCTGAGACGTTGCATGCGTTACCCGTCAAATTGCCCGGCTGATCGCTGTAACTGTTATTGAAAAAAAACACCGTAACTCGTAACACCGCGCGACCGGTGTATTGACATTCCACATACAGCGTTAAATGAGCGATGTGGAATATGCATATCGTCGAATTAAATAAAAGTCTGACCGTAATGTACGCGCAATTTCGCAGCTTGTCCATAATACTATGGAAAAGTTCCTCCATGCGAGAACATTTTCTCTTACCTTGTCGTGGCTGTTTTCCTCCTGGAAAACTTTTTTGGAGCGCTAAACGTAAAAGCCCACACTTTTTTTTAGACATTCGTATTCATAATTCATGTCGGACTTTAAGATAAAATTCTATTTACAATTTTATTCATCGTACATTTTGATGTATTTTAATCATTTTTTATATATTTTTGAATAAATATTTTATACGTGTGCGGCGGAGCATTTTGGTTCCTTTCAAATGCGTTTCTATTATACAAAATTATAAATAGAATTCTACCTCCCGTAATGCGCGGCGCGATTTGTATGTCGTCTGAAGTGGACTTTGATGTAATAAAACTGAAATATAATGCGATACCTACTCTCACAGTCAGTGAAGCGCGAGAGAGGTGAATGAGACGAAGGAAAACCCGTGTAATGGCACTATAATATTTAATATTAGGACATTCTATTGACAGCTTAAAATTTCCACGCGTATATCACATATTATATTATACGTAAATCGTCAACGTTTCCCGCGGTCTTATGCGATATTATCAGTATGCAGCTGTATATGTTTAACGAAACGATGACGGTTCACCCCCAATTTCACGCGCTTCCGCGATCGCCAACGAGAATTTATAATTAATGATACCAGTTTTTTGTGTGGGAAAACGCACGAGTTTCCATACGTTTTCGCAGCGATGTATTGTTTTTTTATGTATATATTATACATATATAATCATAAATCTCTCCTCACTATATATAGTTAACACTTTACAAAACTATATACACTAAAGCCATCTTTGTATCGTCTACAACGCTAGCTAGCAACATTTTCTCTTTTTTTCCCTTCATCTCTCATATATGTATATAACATATTCCTTTTTATTTTTATATATTTATATATTTATATCGGCGCGTTTTCACACGCGCGCGCAGTATAATAATAATAATCGTCGCCAAAGTGCGTAACATTAGCGCGTTCAAGTTAAAACTCGTGCTACCGCCAAATTCTAGCGCGAGGTGTGTACGATAATACAAAGGTATCATCTATCTGTCACTTACTGCTAATTGCTATGCAACTAATTAACGTCCGCGGTCGGTTGCGGTTTAATTATTCGTGTACACTCTCTCTCTCTCTCTCTCTCTCTCTCTCTCTCCCCCTCTCTTCCTCTCCTTCCATATTTTCCACACGACTCTCCGCTTTATCATTAATCCTCTCATTCCCGACGTACCATCGATACGCAATATTATGCAATTAGCGGAGTAGTACTTCTCTCATTTTGACGGATTATTTCGTGCATTAATAATGAGGTAAAATAAACCACGTTAAATTATTGTCCTCATTCTGATAATGCTTAAATTGAAATTAATAAATATTGTCGACGGACTGTTTATTGCGCTAATTTAAATCTAACTATCCAAAATTTTAAATTATTTTAAAACTATTCAGATAATTCTCGATGAAAATGATATATAGAGAGAGGTAATAATTTGGGAGTGAGAAGATTAATCGCGACACGCAGAGGCAGAGACAATCGTCTGCGGGCCTTCGATCTCATGGACGATGTGGGCGAGCGGATCGAGAACACCCTCTTGAATACGCTGCCGTTTCGACGAGCGCGCGTTCTCGGGACGACGCGATTACGAGATGAGTTTTGCGTTAACTTTTCGCGTCAGAATGTAAAAGAAAAAGAAAAAAAAGGGAATCATTCGAGGATCAAACTGCTGAAAGTCGCGGGAAGTCATCGGGAAATATAATGCTGCCTCTCGGCAGAACTGCGGAACGGAAGGTAATCCCGCGTGTCAAATGCACGGCGCTATGTACAATAACTTTCTTTTCTTTTTTTTTTCTTTCACGCGATAACGTCAAATCGTGGGAACGAGCGTGGAAACGATCGCATCGTTCGAACGTAACAGATGCGTTTACGTTTCACTCGTCGACCGACGCACGCCTCTTACCGCCGACGCAGCTCCGTTCTTCCGCCGTTTTGCTCCGAATCATCGCGACTAATCGAAAGCGATTCCGTCCGGGATCATCGCTCGATTATTACGGCACTCCCGGCGCTCATCCCACGCGCGTGAATAACGTAACAGTGGGAAATTGCTCGCTTTCTGAGATGGTTCCAGTGTTATCGGAGATGAAGCGCACGAAAAATTCGCTGCCCAGCTTCACGCGCCCGATGCGGAAAGAAATGTAAAAGCGGGAAACAGATTGAAGAATATAATTGTACACGGAGTTTTTTTTTTAATTTACCCTGAAAATCATGTGAATTGTGGGACAATATAATATTTAGGCAAATTTTACTGCGCACTACAATAAATTTTACAGTAGTAAAATACAGTAAAATTTATTGTAGTGCACAGTAAAATTTGCCTAAATACTATATTGTCCCACAATTAATTAAATTAAAAAAAAAAAAAATTTCGTATAAATACCGAGGAAAGTTTAAACAAATTTCAGTAATGTAGATATAAGTATATTTTTGTCTAATTGTTGTATGCAATATATTATCGTTAAGATATTTTAACTGAGAAACACGAAATTATTTTCGCGTCGTAGCGTCGCGTTTTCGAGTCATCCGCGAGAATTATTTCCGTCGCGATGGCACGACGTTCGATTTCGCATTACATACATATGTCGATTGGCTTTATTGTGACATTATTCTCCGAATACACAAGAAAGCGAGAGTTTTTGTTTTGATTCCGACCGGCCGGCCGGCCGGCCGTGATATTATTCTCCGAATACACAAAATAGCTATATTTTTGTTTTGATTCCAGCCGGCCGGCCGGCTGGTCGGCCGATTCGAGTCCGCAATGTTTACAATGACTCGCGCGTAGCTTCGCTCCGTGAGTGTAACCTTGGCGGCGTGGAATGAGGTGGGAGGGGGGAAGGGGGGCGCGCTGAGCGCCGAGCAGCATCATACACGCGTATACACCGAGCGCGATCGGAGCATTCGGAGCGATCTCCGTTTCATTACGTCGCGGTCGTCGCGTGCTTTTCGGCCGACCGGCAAGTCTGACGAGTCTCGCGACGAGTTCTTCGCGACACGATCGATCGACGTGGAGGATAGCACACGCCGTGTGCGCGTTTTTTTTATTAAAACCGCGTTTGCCGATTCGTCACGGATCGACGGCGGACGGCGCGAGCAGCGCGCCGCGGTGTGAAGTTGTCGTCGCGTCGTTCGGCCCTTCTAACGAACTTCATAACTCTCGGAAGTTTCAGCGAGCGACGCCGGGTAAGGTGGATGGACACGGGCGATCTCCCGTCTTCCGTTATTTATCCGTTCTCGAAGTGCCACCGCGCGTTCGTCGTGTCGAGGTCGCAGATCAAACGGTGCACCGGAGTGGATCGGAGTGACCGAATTGCGCGAGTGACGGTCGATTGAGCCGCCGCGGGGCGGCTAATCAGCCGGTGATCGATATCGTTTTCCGATATTCGGTGACGGCGCTTACTTAATGGCGGGCCGGTCGTTATCGCGTTAATTGGCGGACGATCGACGCGGCACGGTGATCGCAGTTCTCGTGCCGGCCCGGTCCGCGTGTGCCCCCCCTCGACGACGAGGGAATGGAGGAGCCGATGGACGAGAGGAAGACGGCGGTGTCGACGAAAGGGCGAAGGAGCAGCTGCGTTACCTGCGTACTGCGGCCGGTGAGTGACTTAATTGTTATAACGCTGCAATAATTATACAATTCGCGTGCGATCGTTGCGTCCGCTCCGTCCCCTCGGCGATTCGATGTCGTTACGTCACGGCGCGCGACCGGCGCGTGCACGTCTCGCCATTTTACTTACAAAATAATGAAAAATACAGCTCCGCTCTTGTTTTTTTAAATCTTTTTTTTTTGTTTCAACTATCGTTTGGCTGGCAGTGCAATTTAAACGAGACGTCTCTATACTCTTCTAAAGCGCACATTTTAGAGTCGCGCGTGTGTTTGATGTTGATCGAATAAACGCTCGTTAGGGCGCGCGCGGAGGCGTAAAAGGTTTCTCTCCCCTTTATATATTTTTGACGAAAAATTAAATCGCAATTTATCGCGATCGGGATTTACCCTCGCGGAACCCGATCGCGGAATTGAGGCGGAGTTAATCGGAACGACATCGATTCTCTTCCAACGCGACAAGTTAATCGATTAGGAAACGAGGGCGGCGGTGACGAGGGAGGAGGATGAGGAGAAGGGGGGAGGGCGTAAATTGGAGGCGATCTTGAGAGTAATTCGCTTTCTCGCCCTTTCACCCGTTCCACGCAAATTCAGCGACGCGACTTACACGCGTTTTATCACTATTGTCAACTAGCGCGCGTGTCTCCTCGTCGTCTTTAGGCTTCGTGTGAATGTAATATTTGCGCCACCACGTGTGTGTCTTGCGTGCGGAATTGCAATTTTAGGAGAGAGGACAGTGAGATTGATGAATCGTGAATCCTTCACGTTAATCTATACGCTCGACATTCGTCTCCCACCATCGGTCATCGAGAACGCGTAAAAGTCGGGCTTCCCCGGGAGATCCGCGGAATCGCGGGAATTCCGCGAATCCTCGGATCGCCTCGGTCGATCGGCGCGTCGATTGATGCATGTCATTTCCCAGGCGAATCCCGGTGGATTTTTCCGTAATCGTTTCGAGCGCGGCTAACTGATCGATCATACACGCCCGCGTAGACCTGAGAACCCCATAAATTTTCCTCGAAGTACATGTATACCGAAATCGATCAAGAGTGCCGATTCGCAGATGCCGAAACGTGGGCCTTAGATCTAGCACGGTCGCAGATCGATACCGCGCAATTTTCACTCGTCTACCGATGGCATTTCGCGTCCTTAGGCTGCGCGCGATAATAAACACACTCCTGAAACGTTTCGCTTCATCCTTTTCGTATATGTAACTTCGCAATTCGACAATCGTAGGAATCACTCGATCGATCGGATTCACGGCAATTCGAGCAAACTAAGTCTCAACTCAGCGTTGAAACGACGGTGCGCTGATTTTTTTTCCTTTTTCTTTTTTTTTTTTTCGTTACTTAATTGGTGCACATTGTTGCCTAAGTCCCGTCAATTTTCGATAGATCCGACGGATCCGTCTAGAGATTTTTTTTCTAATAATAAAAATATCTCGTATTTCATCCAAGGGAATCCAAGGAAAAATGGACCGCGGTCCATTCGGGCATAATATCCATGTAGTACATTGGTTTTTTTTTTTTAATCTTTTTCTTTTACGACGATAATAATTATTATATTTTCTTTCGAGGATTGCAAATTGAAATCATTTTCTCACACTTTCCGTAATAAACGCGACAGCATTTATTGGCGTTTACTTAGGAGAGTGTCGCACTTGCTCACTTTTTTTGTTTACATCTAGATAAAAATATAATTGCAATTTATATAAATGCATGCGACAAACGTACATAAATACTATTTCAACAATATTTACAATTCTGCTCGAACATCGCGAAAACATACTATAAAACGAAAAAACGCTTAGAAACGCTGTATAAAATAATGTCATACGATGTATACGCAGTGGCACCGGATCTCGCAGACTTTTCAAAAAGTGCAACTTGCAAAACACAAATAATTTATGCAAGTTAATTTTCTCATTGCGCAATAATATTTCATATATATATAGCGATATATACTATTTTAGAAAGATACTCTGGACTTTATTTCGTATCTACCGTTTCGTCTACGATATCAGCTAATTAATGCGAGCTAATCACATTTTTTTTCTTCCCCTTCCCCCCTTCCTCCCCGTGCCGTCGTATCGTACAAGTATATAGTGCTACTCCTCCTTTCGAATTCGGACCGTAAACTCTCAGAAAATTAATCGCCACACCCCTCGCTCAGGAGTCAAATTCGCAATCGTCGGACTAGCAAAGAGATATACATTATATATACTTATGTGTTTCAGAAAGCGCATTATATTAAACATTATTTAACGACGAAACTTTCCGAGCTGAACTTGCATTTCTTGACAAGATGGCATGCTAAAAATGTATAATATCGACGTAAACACGCCAAGAAACGTCGCGGTTTCAAGGGGTTTTTTTAATACAAAATGCGGCATGACGGATGCGCTCGAGGTCGGTCCGTCGCGGCTCTGTTGCCGATCGGCTAAATATATACGCTTATTTTTTCTGCGTCACGTCGAGAGATCGTGATTCGATCACGATGTAAAATCGAATAATGCCGCACGTACAATCGCTACAGTCGCGAGATATAGCTTACACTTAGAAAAACTGTATGATTTATTTTGTCACACAATTTACCAGTCGGCCAGCACATATTGAGGTATTACAACTCTAAGGCTCGAGAAGTTATATTTATATTATATACGCAGTACTTCTAAGTGGCTACGGTGTGATCGTTGGTTGCGATTTGATAAACAACAGTAAAAATTATTCTATCTCGTTTGATTCATTCTGCGAAGCGTCAGGGGAAAAGCTCTCTCGACGATGTAAAATTCCTCGGCAACAGAGCACGAGAAGGATGTATAGAGCTTGCCGAAGCTCTTTTTTGCACGCATCTCCGCGTTGTGCGACGCGATGAGAGAGAGAAGAGGGTCTTTGGCTTGCGCGATGAATATATATATAATATATTTTCCAAGATTCGAAAGAGAGCGAATATATATTTATTTTTATATGTATATATATATATACGCGATGATATTCGGAAATTATTTACACACAGAATATAGCGTCCTCTTAGGCGAGTAACGTTTATTATTATTTTTTCTTTTGATTTGCTCCATGGCTTGCTCCTCTGCTGCTTAGAATTCGCGTTTTCTCCAGCGTCCGAGTTCACTCGTCTTCCGTGTCTTCCCCAAAAGATTTGTCTCTAACACAGCGCACTTTTTATCGCTCGGCTCCGTACGGTATATATAGAATTTTACGCGGGCGAATCGAAAAAGTAATTCGTTACCGCTACGGCGCGAACGAAAAAATCGGTACGGTAGTATAGTATATATATCATCTTAATTTTCTTATATACCTCAATCACGGGACATGTGTTTTATTATACTCTAGTCTTATTATCGGCTAACCTATCGTAAGAACTTTTACGATATACTTAAGTTGAGCTGCTGAATTAACAGTACGCGATCGTCGTGAATACTTTTTTTTCTTCCTTTAGAGTCCTTATGAATTACACTCGCGTGTCCAGACCGTCGGCTCGTTGCACTCAAATAATTGTCAATGCAGGTTACTTTGCTTTTTTTTTTCTTTGTATACTCGCTATTGCATGTAGAAAATAAAACGCAAATGCATCCTTATAAATCGAAGGACTTTCAAGATGAATCGTCATCTAAAGATTCGATATTCAGTCGTTAGAAAAACTATCTCGCATTAGAACCGTCACGTGTTTTTTTTTCCTCCATCGTTCGTTCGTTTTCCATCTTTTCGTGTAAAGTGTGCAGCAGTGTAATTAGGCAATCGTTCTATTCGTTTCTCGTCACAGTTAAATTATCCTTTCCCTCTTGTTGTGAAAAAAAAAACGAGGGTTTGGCCGTCAGAATCGTCGTAAAGTTCGTGATTGAACGCGAGAGACAAACATGTCGTCGGTAATTTGTGTAATAGTTGTGTATCTCAATCTTAAACCTATGCACGAAAAGACACCGATAAGATTACAGGTAAGAGCACGATGCATTTTAATTTTTTTTTTTATAAGTATAGCCTCTCCTGCGATTTCTAGCGTCGGATCGGAGATCCTGGGGCAGTAACAGAATCAGAGATCCGACAGCGACGGGCGAGATTCCGATATCAATATTTATTTAGACTTCGCGCGAATATATTTTTTTTACTCTTTTTTTTTGTCATTAATTCGCTCGAGCGAGGATCGACGAGCGAAAGTGCCACGAAGTCGCCGTAATCGCCGATCGATCAATCAAATGCGACGCGATTACGACCGAATGGCGAACTGTAACACGAAATAGACACTTAAGATATATCAGGTCACGATAATTTGTCAATAATTATTATCGAACGCTCATAAGACACTGCGTAAGACACGCTAAACTCTAGGCGATAAATCTAAGTGTAAGACGAAGACGTGCACTTGTTTTTAAATAACGTAACGCGCGGCGCACATTGGGATGCACAATGTACATATATCTCGGGTTGATAAACAAGGTAAATTCGAGAGAGTAATTGCGATATCATCGATGCGACATCGTCAGTCGCAAAGTTCGGGGTTAATTAGAGAGAGCCAATTACGTCCCCCCGAGGGGAGGGGGAACGTAATCGAATCGCGTTCTGTAACGTAATATGTCGGGGGATATCGGAACGTAGAGCTCGCGCCGAGGTGTGCGACTCGCGCGCGGAAAAGCCGAGTATCCGGGAAAAGCGCGACCATGGAGAGCGGCCAAATGGCTCAGGTTTGACTGGCACCCTACGAGCGCGCGTTTGCACGTGATACAAACTGAGCGAGTAACGGAGTTCCCAATCCGCGCTGCACTCGCGAATTTACTTGTTACTCCGCTCGAACGGCGGCACGTCGCCGTTCGAACCCTTTACTCAACACAGACAGAAAGACGATCTCTATAACGATCTATTTCGTCGACGCGATCTTCTACGGTATTTTGCTAGTCTACGTTAATCTACGTTAATCTACGAACAACACTGGAGACTGCGCACTATTTTTAAATAATAACGCCCGATCCCTTTCCCTTCGCACAAATAATCTTATTTGTATTTTTTTTTCTTTTTTTTTTCTTTTTTTCAATGCGACTCGCGTATTACCGAGGATGGTACAAACAGGTAGAGATTAAATAACTCTAAGGTAATCGGAAAGAGAGAGCTCTAAGTCCTTTTGATCGTGAGTCGAGAATCTAAACGAATCCGACGCGGATCCCTCTTGACGATCCCGAGCAAACGAGATCGGATCGTTAGGCCATACGTTACAATATATAAATAGTGACTCGATGCAAAGTTATAGAGACTAGACGTCGATGCTCGTTTTTTCTTCTTGTCCTCGCGACATATATATTTTCGCGTTGTCGATTCTATCGAACGAACTGCTCTCGCAATCTTTGCCGTGTGCACGCAACATCGTGATTACCGACGCAACATCGTGAAAATCCATCTGCAGTATATACGAATATTATACTCGATACCCGTGGGGCCGATATACTAGTGCACTCGTGTCTTATTAAAATCCTTCAATGCTTGCCGCGTTAAGTAAAATCTCTATCCCTTGAAAAGAGAGATGCCTTGTTGTGTCTTCGCTTAATTAACGCAACGATCGAAGCTTCGTCGCGCGAGGGGTCTGGACACGCGAGCACAGTAAAGTGGATTAAAAGTGGAAATCGAATTTGTGAATGTTGTAAATGTAAAATGCAAGATTTAATATCAACGACAAATTACAAGTAACCTAAAGTCGCATAGGTTTTTACATAGGGTGCATCCACTCTACAGTTTTCCCTGAAACAGACAGTGAGCGCTCCGTACGAATAAGAACATTATTACGAGATTATTACTTTGAGTGTTACGGTGAGAGAGAAACTTTTGTTTTTTTTTTTTTTTTTTTTGGAAGCGATCGTCGCGCACAGCAAGCGTAAGCGGGTTTAGGTCGGGTTCAGGTACTTACTCGTCCTCCCACGGGCATACTTCGTTAACATTATTGTCACGCTTCTCCCGAGACCCTGCCTGCTCCGCCGCCGGTCGGTCCTGCTGTTGGGCGTCCGGTTCCCAGACAGGCACGACCTGCGCCTCCTCGGGCAGCTCCTCGGTCGTCGCCGGCTCCTCGGCCACCGGCGACACGTCCGCCCCGGTGTCGGCCCGCGAGTCCTCGCCTCTCGCTCTCTCCTCGGCGACGATCTCCCCCGCGTCCCTCGCCGTGCAGCTCTCGCTCGCGTCCTCGTCGGCGTTCTCCATCGTGGAGTTGTCACTCGGCAGATCGCCTACGATCGCGCTGATGCTGATCAAGGGTGCCTTCGTCCTGGGGAACAGGAACGGGCATTTCGTTTCTCGATCGCAGTCCCCCCGTCCCGGGTTGCCCACGCGCGGTAACTTACTTAGGACTCGGCTGGCTCTCCTTGACGACGACGGCTTCCTCCGCGACGGTTTCCTCCTCGGGCACGATCTTCTCCAGGGACGATAATCTCTCTTCCACCTTTTCGACCACCGCGTGGGAGTACTCGAATGACTGCTGGGGCGACGGATAATTGCAGGACGACACGGACGCGCGACCTATCTCGGCCAGCCTGATGCGGCCGCTCGCCGAGCAGGTGGAGTAGTTTCGCGTTATCATGCCGGGGCCTGATGTACCTGTGCGTGTCAAACAACCACGTAGGGGGAGGACGATATTTAGAGACGTTATACTTTCCGCGCGACGTCGTCTCTTTCGCGTTTTGAGCTGTCCGATTGTTACCGACCTATGCTACCGCTATGCTGCAAACTACACGACTTCCGCAGCCGTTCGGAGACGTCCGCGATAGCAAGGCTGACGTCCGACGACGAGCTGCACGAGTCCAGCTGCGCCGAGTTCTTCCGGGAGGCGCGCGTGCCCTCGGCGGAGTGGCCGATCGTCGCGTGACCGCCGCTGTCCCACACGTGTCGGGCCTGATCAGCTGACGCTGTCCTGCCAGAGGACACGCCGTCCCCGTGTTCCGTGCTCGGGCCCGGCACGGCCTCCCACGGGCACACGTCGTCCGTAGGGCGAACTGCCGCTTCCGTCGCGCCAGCATCCCTGACAACAGGAACTTTATTATATTTAGTTTTCACCGTTTGCTTTCGGCGGTGGGGTACCACGCGCTTCGTGTGGCGTGTTTTTCGTGTGTATTTTTTTTCTGCATATACATGTACATGTGTGTGTATGTGTGTGTGTGTGTGTGTGTGTTCTTTTGTCAACGTCAGTCGGTACATGCATGCGGCTCCATTCAACGACTATAGGGGAAGATGTAGGTCTTTATAACATATAGATGTTGCAAGGGTGTCCCGGAATTATCCCCGCTCGCGAAAAGAGTCCGTGGCGGAGTAGAGACGATAACGAATAATTCCGGGGCGTCCTTGTAGGGGATCTAGGGCGATTTGTACTGTCGTGGTACCGTTTCGATCCTCCGAATTCTTGTCGCGCACTTTGTGTGAACGCAAGGGTTTTAACATTAGGGGGGGGAGGGGGGAATAATATGCTTACGGAACACATTGGGACACGTAAATCAGAAAAAAAATTGTGAAAAGAGAGTTGGTACATACTTTTCTTGCTGTGCAAATAGTGTGCTCGACAAGTATCGTACGTATAGGTAAATGTGTTACATAAAATATTACAGAGATATATGAGCACAGAGGTATAGTAAGCTTGATACGGACGACACAATATCGACATCAAGACAATTATACAGAGTGTCTCAAAATACAATAACAGGTACAATGATAACTGTCTTTTTTTTTTCTTCGGCAAAGAGATACGAGAGATGCGCGTTTATGTCGAAAGAGAATACGATTTACGAGTGTCTTTGAGACACTCCGCGTGTGTGATGGTACTTGATAGTATTCAGAAACACACTGAGACTTATCAAGGAACGGGCACAACGTTTTGTCATACAATTACTATTACCAATGGATAACACGTTTTACACACATTTTGGTGAGCTTTTCATAAAATGATTTCTTTGAGAGTGCGAGAGTTTTCAAAACACACCGAGATAAGAGGGTCTGCCAAAGTCTGATACGAAGGTACAAGTGGAGCGACGGTGCAACGGAGCGCGTTAATAACCTCTCTACTGCCCTCCGCCCCTTCGTGCATCCTCGTGGACCGCGGGCTCGTTGATTCCCCCGGGGATCCGTTATTTCGCGATACGCCCGGAGAGCCTGGCACGCGGCACGGGCGGCATGAAGGGGAAGAGCCGCGAGTAGGTGCAGCTCCGTTCGAGCGCTCCGCGCTCCGTCCGCTCCTACACTTAATTGAGAATAACCGTGGTATGTATCGGGGGTGACTTACTGAATACTACGTGGACTAGGCCTCGAAGGCATCTTTACGAGTCGTGGTAGATCTCCCCTGAAAATACGACGCGCACGAATAAGCCCATCATCGGCCACGTTCACCCGCTCGATGTCGCGCGTACGAATAACATGCGAAAAGCGCAAAGAATAGCCCGTATCCGCTCGGACATAACGTAGGACAGATATTCTCTCTCCCTCTCCCCCCCCCCTCTCTCTTTCTTTCTCTCGCGGGAACCGTTCTCGGGCCCCCTAACCCCCGCATACCTGTATGGGATGTCGGTGAGATTCGACTGGCTGTGGGAGTGCGGGACTCGCGGCGCGGAAGTGACGTCGCGTACGCCGCACACCGCGAGCTCGTGGGCGCTTCCGGACAGGCTCCGGTCGCTTCCTCTTCGTCTGCCACCTATACTAGCCTGCTGCAACGTGCTGGACGTTGGCGTCGAAGTGGAGGAAACTTTCTTCTTGGCTTGGCCACCGAAGTTGAAAAATCTGAAAGGACAAACAGGGCGGGTTCACATGTACCTTTATATATCCCGACTGATACGACACCGTGATTCTCTCGACGACGTGAGACTTACCTCTTTTTCTGCAGAGGTTGCACGCCGGCAGCTAAGAGATTACGATATTGATCGGAACGAATAAATCTAGGGTAGCAGTCCTTCTTCAGCAGTAGCGTATATACATGCTCCGCGGCGGAATCAAATGTAAATCTGCTCGGATTTTTCATCTCCTGATGGACCTTCTCCATCGTTTTCCCGTCTATGTTGATTTCGCACGGAGCTCCGGGTGCCAAGAATTCTCTGCGTGAATTTCCAAACGTTACATTATTTTCTTTTTACGGCTCGAAATAGCGTGACACATATAAACTGCACGCAACGCGCGTACCTAAAAATTTCGTTGACTTTGTCAGGTATTTGTGCTTGAAAACTGTGCCTGAGATCTTTGACCGCCAGCCAAAATCTTATATTCTCGTGGCTGTACTCCTTTCTTAAATAATTCGTGAATTCTTGTAAACCTGTTGCGGGGCAGAATAACGCCTCGGTGAGTTCACCAGCGGAATGAACTATGTTCTATTAATGCGATCGAAAAGTTTTACCTGTAGGATCAGACATAAGCTCTTCCATCGACAGCGCCCATCGTTTAACACGCTTCTCTGTAGGAACGTCCACTCTAGGACACGCGGGTACAAAGGTACGTTATTGAATTTGCCGCAATCATTCACAGATGAGAGACAGAGAGAGAGAGAAAGAGTATCGGATTTCAATTCACTTACAAGCTACTATTCAGTTGCCAAAACGTATGATCGTCGGTGATCCATGGATTGGAAGGTTGCGGCTGTACGAACATCGGATCGTATTCCACGTACGTTTCGAAGTATGATTTAAAATTTTCGATCGCAGTCGAAACCTTTATCCTCGTACGTATCAAACTGTTCCGTAGAAGGGCCCCCTGTTTAAAAAAAAAAAAAAAAAAAAGAAATCACATACGGACGTAAAATTAAATCGGTGATTTACAATCGGTATCGGAAATGGCATATTTCGCCATTACCGATATACAGCAGTTGGCGCTCACCTCACGTTGCAGATCGGTGAGAGTGCGTTTGCGTGACGGAGGTCGTGGAAGTCCAGGACGAAAACGAGTGGGTACGGGCACGGCTTCCAGGCTACTGAGACAACCAGGTGGCGGTCGGTAGACCCTCCAAAATGCCCGCTCCTGCGAGTCGCTCACTATCTTGTCGCCTTTCTTGCGCTCCTTGGACAGGCGTACCTGAGCCCACACAATCAGCAGCATTTCAAGGAGTCACGTGCTCGAATATGCGGGATCGGCATTTTAACGCGGGACAATAGTCGCGGCATCGTATTGAAAATCAAGCGCGCGATATATAGTGACGGATAATTATTCACCTGTTCTTCCGCTTGTAGCTGTATTATGTCCCACTTGTTCTGCAAGTTCTTGCGCAGGCTGTTCAGAGCTTCCTAAAGATAGTACGGTTTTCTTTTACGAAAGGGAAAGTGTCCTTAAACGAGGTTTTTTTTTCTATTTCGGCGCGTTATCGCGTTAGAGAGAAAAAAAAACGTGAATCTACATACGGTCTCATAGTCCTCGAGAGCGTGACGTTGTTTGTTCCTTAGAGTTCGTTTAGCCAGATAGATCGCGTACTCCACGTTGTCGGGGGTTCTGTGTTGCCACGGCCAATAATAGGGTGTCTACGCGTATCAAATTTTTGCAGATGAGGATTAAATGCTCTCGGAAGAATTTTATTTTTTAATTTACTTTCGAATACGACTCACCTGAAACCTATACAGAGAGCTATCGTCCTTAACAGTAAGTGTCTTGGAGTCATTCACCGGGAAGAAGTAGCCATACTGGCATAGTTGATTAGCAATATGGACCGCCTCTACTGTCAAACACAATAATGCAATTTGATATTCTGAAGGAAACGCTTACATCGAACAAGAAGTGTCTCTAAGGATGTCGCTTAGTGTTGCTTAGGGTCGTGCAGATCACTCAAACGATGCTCACATTGCTCTGTGTCGTATTTTGGTTGGGTTTGTCTGTTCACACAGTTTTTTTTTTCTACGTCGAGAAATGTCCACAAATTAGAGTTTTGTTACTTTTATTTTAAGAAATTGATCGTGCGCTGCTTGGATGAGCTTTCTTCGAAGCGGACACCAGCACTCGCTTTCCCTCTCCAAGTGATTATTAATGAATGACTAATTCGACTTTTTAATTCTATTAATTTATATCGTGCAGATAAATATCAAATCGTCGCGTATTTTTACGAATATTATCCGCGGGATTTCTTCGAGTTACGAAGACATTTATTCTCTAAATGCATTCGACGCGAATTACGCTCGCTTCGCGACGAAACGGGGACTGTAATTTACGATCTTCATTTGCACGGGCGCGGTACGCGAGCGCGGGGAAAAAAAGCCGAAGGGAATTGAGAAAAATCCGCGGCAATATTCACCGTTTTTCCGCGAAAACAGCTGCAAGTTCGCGAGTTCTCTCATTAATCTCTCATCTTTTCAATAACCAGCCGTATAAATAATTCATATTCGGCTCGAACGAAAGAGAATATCCTGTGTAGTGTGAAGTGTTAGTATGTAATCGATACTCTTTAAAGGCACTAAGCGGAAAGTATCGATGCAAATGCGGATCGGATACTGCGAAGCGAAACTATCGATAGTGTCGTTAGCGTTATCCTTCAGGAAGAGCGTTGCGGTTGCGCGTGTCGGGGGAGTGGGGGAGCGGGGGAAACGCCGAGCCGAGCCGAACGAGCGAGCGAGCGAGGATATCAGCACGGGCACAGCAGCCGGCAATGGTCAGTAGTAGACATAGGAGAGCCCGTACCTGATTCTTCGATGGCAAGCCGCTCCATCAGCCACTCGATGAGGTCGTAACCTGCAACACGCAGGCAGCCTACTGTAGTGTCCTGGCCGTGATGGCCGCTTACGCTTACTCCACAACGCAGGTACCGATGGCACTCACCCATGAACGCTGAGGGGATCGAGGTGAGAAATTGTTTTTGGCTGCGCACGGGTACCCCGCTCTCAGGGTCTTGCATCTCCCGCACCAGTCCCTCCATCTGCGCCAGAGATCAACGCGATGAACGATTATTGCATTTACAGTCCATTAAAGAGGATTCCCCAGGCGACGTTCCAATCATTACGTTTTGGTAATCGCCACCGACTGGGAAATAATTTATTCGCGCGCGCGCGCGCGCGCGCGTACCTTGTCGAAGGCGTAAGGCCTATGAACGCGTGGCTCCTTCTCTTTTTGTTGTTGATTGCTAGAGGCCTCCATCGCGATCGAGGCGGCCCTCTGCGTCGCTGGCAGGAGCGGTGTCGATATCGATGGCGGAGGGGGCTGGGGAGCTGGGCCGGAGACGGGTCTACCCGAACTCCATGGGGCTCTGGCCCCATCCCATCACTCCAGTCACCCCCGCACGCCCACTGAAACATCCCGTAAATTGTCCTTTTTACATCTACTTCATTCATCTCGTTTCAACGGTAACAGATATGGATATATAGCTGGGCATATAGAGGCACAAGAGAAATTTAATTACAAACTAAATTTGTGAGAAAACTTTTTTATTCTCATACCGCGTACACAGGTATAATGAATGTAGAAGTGGGAGTCGCTGAACGCGCGATTTCCTGCTTTGAAAATTGCGATTTTTTTACATGAAATTTCCATGTCCTACTGCGCTCAGAAGGAACGCTACTCGTGTATGATTTAAAACTCGCTTACGTCCCCTCTATATCTTTTCATCTAACTATTCACGCTTTTCGTTTACGCATATACAAGACGCAATTAGTCGTTAATTAAATAACAAGTTTTGCTAGAGTGTTTAATTTTGCTGCTTAGTTATTGAGAAAAATAGAGATCCTGTCGCGAAAATGTAACGGACACTCGGACAGATCGAATTTATTGATCTTATCGGATTTCAGTTTCTTCCTGCGATCCGCGAATCTCGGAATTCTTAGAAATATCTACTCGACGTTTCTTAAATAACCACCTCTTCTCGTACATCTCTATAGTTTGTTCAATTCTTAATGCTTTATCTTTTGATATACTTCGCCCGACGAGAACGTGCCTTCACTCTCATTATTTATCAAAGCACATCGGATTAAGAAAAGTGGACAGAAATATCGGACATTTAACTCGCAGAAACAGAAACATTCGTTCGTATATTAAGGCACGTTTATATGTAGGCTATTTTTACAATCGCTATTGATGACAATATTTTTTGCCGAATGTCGTTGGCATTGATTGATCCAACACCTTCCCTGTACAGCCGACCCTCTAACGTTCAGGAAAACTAACGACTCAGAATTGTTAATTATTTATAAACCTGGAATTTTTAAGCCAACATTAATTGTAAGATAAAAATTTTGAAGTCATCACTATGAGCAGAAATATATGTATTTTTAAGGGGGGGGAAATGTTCAATTTTCTAATGCGAAATTTTTAACTTGCGAGATTCGAAAGCTCATAAATCATAATTCCGAATTATTACATTTTTCATGCTCACAATGGAGATGGCCAGCTCGAATATTTAATTTACCAATTATTGATAAAAGATTATAAAGCTTTTGTTGAATAATGCGCTTTAATTTCGCATCGACTTATTTCTCATGTCTGCAATCTCCATGGCACACTGGAATATCGCATATATAAATGTATATAGTCGTTAGATGGATAAAAGCATCTTCGGACAGATCATTTAGCTCGAATAGAAAGAGAACCGGGCACATTCTACCGGGATATTTGTTCTACTTCCGCCTCTCAACTTCCGCGGTTCCGCGCATCCCGCTCGGGCAGCAAACTGCGACAATAATAAACGGCAAACGGCAAAATGCCGCCGGTTCGACGCTATAAACGCTTCCCTACCGTGCGCGATATTTCGGGTTATACGGATGAAGATTTACTTTATTCGCCGCATTCTCGCAGTCGAATAAAAATCCCCCGCAGTGTCTCTATCGTAAATCCGGAAAGCGTTTCCCGGCTCGGCCGCATATCGGTAGATTCATAAGACGAGATATAATCTGGGCTTAACGTGGACGCCTTGTTTTTTTAACGGAAAATCTTTCCAGTCGAGAGATTCGCGTCAGGATAAGAAAAAAAAGAAAAAAAGTTTTTCTTTCCCACGGAAAATTTGCAGGGAGAAAAAGAGAAAGAGGATCGGGTCATTACGTTTTAGCGCTATAAAAGGGTGCTCCGATATACAAGTCGCCCGAAGGTTTTTCACACGACGGAACGCCGAATGACTCGCGGAAACGATACAAACTCAAAGTTTCGCCGTTAAAAATGACGCTGTGACGCCATATCGCGTTACTGATGGCATCGTGTTACTTATGATATCGCGTTACCCCCATCCGACTGATCTCCCGAACAAAATGCAAGGTCAACGCAAATCGCCATCAAGGCCGTGACGCCGATGAGAGAGAGAGAAAAAAAAAGCTAGTGCAGCCGTGTGTCCTGAAAATGGAGATGGCTTTGTGCATGTGTGATCAGGTGTGTAGTCGGGCAAAGTCAGATAAAGCCGCCGCCGTCGATATATCGATGTATCTCGGGTTAATGAACCCGGACCTATTCGACTGGCGATAATGGGGGTAGTGTTCTCGTCTAGCTAAAGAGAGAAGGCGTATGTCTAGCTAGAGGGAGAGAAGTAAAGGGGGAATGGGGGGAGGCGGACATGGGATACACACAATCATTGTGTTCATGCAAACACCATGCTGATATTTCTGGTTCTATAACTGTTGAAATTGCTCGAACCCGCGCTTCTAAAGTCGCCCCCTCGTGCATTCCGTCGTGCATGCTGCGACTGTCGAATTTTTTCGTTTTCGACAGAAATACGAGTTGCTAAGTCGGTCGTTCTACGGCATCTGTTGCAAAACTTTCGCCTCGCTCCTCGCACTACCGAGCTTAAAATTGGAATCGATCTTAAAGAAACTCGTCGACGTAAAGATACTCGCGAGTAGACGATTTTCGCGGGGGAGTCGCGCGAACGCGCGAACGAATTTTGAACGCGCTTTTAGAGGAGTACAATTCTCGTGAAGGGGCGAGAGGGCGGGAGGGGGAAGGAATAAAACGAGAAGGCTGAATCCCGATTGGAAAGCGCTCGATATAGAAAGGAGGGAGGAATAGCCAGAATATCAAAATGAATCCCCAAATGACCTGGGGACAAGCAGATGCGTGGGCGGAAGCACGTCCCCTCCCCTGCCCTTCACCTCTGCAGCCTCGCCGTGCTTGCACCCTCTCTCTTCGCCTGCCAATTTACGTGCTAATCTGAAATCGATAAGTCCTCCGGCACGTCCTGAGACTTTGGGGACGTACGTTTCTACGAATTATTCAGTGCCGCGGAGTTATTAATGTCCCGCTCAATTACAGGCGAGTTTTCAGCGACTGGAGGAAATCAATTAAGCACGCGTGGGGGGGGGGGAGGGTGGGAAGGAAGGCCGGCGGCGTGTCCCTCGTCGCGTATCGTTAACCCTCGGCTATACCGGCTGGGATTACAACGGTCTCATTTTCTCTCGTTTCGTCCGTAAATAGACCAGTGTAACGCATCATTAGGTCGGAAGCGCGCCGGCGGTTCGCCGTCTGAATCTGAAATTTTATCCCGTCATTACTGCGACTCGTGCATCGGCGATTTATTTGATCTGCATTTATATTTCGTAATCTCGCGTTTATTTAAAGGATTTCGCATTGCCCTTCCCGGTTCGAATTGATGGCGCAACTTCGTTATTTTGTGTCATCGATAACTGATACCAAATACGAAATCCAATAAGCCATTTATTAGTGTTGCCCTATCAGTGGAATAACTCCACCGGGCAACGCATGGGGGACAGATTGCGTGTATCCCATGCAAACATCGTTTCGATGCCAATAGTTTATAAATTAACTGTTTTGTTCCGCAGAAAACGCAATTAGCTATTTTGTAGGTTGATGAAAGAGTGCGGATGTATACGGATGCGTGCGTGTGTTTGTTTTTCCTCTAAAGACTATTTAACATATGCTACATACTCTTTAAAAATATCGATTTTTCTTCGTATAATCGCTATAATTAATTAAATAGCGCGCTATAAAGGGCAATTCGCTTTGCCAAATGTGCCCAATTATCTAAATCGTGCTACGTGTACGTCATTGACCATTAAAAAAAAAAATTTTTTTTTTTCACAAAAACCGTCACGAATGTTGGCCAATGATGGCGACGTACGCGATGTAAATTGACCATATGAAATGCACACGATATCACATTGACCAATATTGTCATACATATGTCATGTAGAGTCGGCTTTAAATAAATAAAGGGACAATGTGTGTGCACGGCAGATTCCGATAATAAAACGAAAAAAGGAAATATGATTTTTATTCAATATTTTTAATCGTAATGTATTTTTTCGTACTTCATCCGTTGTCTCGTATTTCCCCACGATCGCCACGTCTGCGAGACGATAAATGTCGCTTTCGAATTTTATACCGGCCATCGCGACACGTACGTCGTCGTAGAAAGTGCGTGAGGGAAAATCCGGAAAAATCGTGCTTCGGGCCAATTCCAAGAAAAGCTCGAATAAGTAATATCAGTGGGAGAAATCACCGTCTTGGAAGAGAAGGTCGTCATAAAATTCCAAGGGAAGCGACACTAAGCTCGCCTTTCTATGGGATTAACTCTCGCGGAATTCTCTCTCTCTCTCTTTCTCTCTTGACGGGACTCGTTTCCCCGGAGAAGCTTTGTGCCGGCCGATAACGAATTTCCTTGTTTCCTATTCAGACGCGGGACATTCAGCAAACACGGGGAAAGCGTGCGCGGCATTAACCCTTTTCAATTGTGAGACGAGAGGAGTAAAATTGTTGGCTCTTCTTGGATTCCACGGATTCTGGGATACTTAAATTCTCGGATCCTTGGATTCTCTCAGATGCTCGGATTGTACTGTGCTTGATAGTATGAATCCAGGAGAGAGAGAGAGAGAGAAAAGTCACGTTGACGAATTGTCGAATTGTTCACCGCCTTCACGTCGTAACCATTCCAGTTTATATTGTGTATATAATTCCGAAGTACATATCTTCCGCGTACATATACCGCAAACAACAGAGCGCACTACGACGAACAAAAAACGGATAAAAATAAACACGATTTGTTTGCGTCCTTTGTTTCCGGCAACCCGCGATATAATCGGTCAGCTCTCGTCCAAGTGACGAACGCCCGGGGGCGAGTGTTACAGCCCCGAAATAGCCCCTAAATTGATTGAATGAACGGTTCCGCGAAGACGGCACAATTTTAGCCTATACGTCTCCCAGGTCGCCGTGCCGGTAAGTAAAACGGTGAAAATCAGGAAACTCCAGCCGAAAAGCGCTCCCAATCTCGCGCCACGCGAGAACAATAGCCATGATAGATTGAAATTTTAATTGAATTTTCATACCGCGCAGCTCCACGCCGGTGAAAGCCGGCGATCGAGTTACTTGAGTCGATCGTAAGATCGCAACCTTCAAGATCGCGGCAACGCATACATTTTAAATCGTCCCGACGTATTTTGTCTCGATCACGCGTGACTTTTCGAGGGTTGATAATTCATGTTCCCGATTACAAACGCGCGACCCGTTATTAAGGGATGGCCATCAACTTACATTTTCATTTCTGATTACGTTTCGGCGTTTAAGGATATTTATTACTCTGGTAGTTTTTATTCTGGAATTAAATACCTATGTGATAGTTATGGATTTTTGTTCGTAATATAATCAAAGAAGGGTTATAAGAGCGTACTCGATACGAACCCTTCATCGGTTCTGTGGAAAAAGTCATGATACGGCAGATCTTTAGGCATGTCTTCGGGCGAAACGCGAAACACCCTTGAGAGTTGCTCGTGATATCCGGTAAGCAAGGAGATGCAACCTTGACAAGTCGTGAAGACCTTTAGTCGTTTTAATCCTTCCTGTGTTACGGTTTTCCCGTCGCTCTGACTCTCACATTTCGCAGATTGCATGAAAATTATTCATATCGCACGTGCGAGTCCGAATTGTAAACAGTCGGCGATGTTACATTTACAAACTCCCGCGGCTGTGTTCTTCAACTGTCATGAATTTAATTCCGGGACAAGCTGCGAGAGAGAGAGAGAGAGAGAGAGAGAGAGAGATGAATAAGAGCATCATTAAACGCCGAAACGCAATCAGGAACAAAAGTTTAGTTTGGTATCTCTTAATAATGGGCCGCGCGCGCTTAATCGGGCATGAATCATCAGCCCTTGAAAAGTCACGCAGCAGACAGGTGGATTCCAAAACGGGCGCATCGATATTGCACGATAACGCGAATTCCAATTATCATCGCTCCATCGACGTTATCATGTCGATACTAACAAATTAAGGCGCGCTTGCACAGCAAATAAAAATCGATCGGACGTCTGCGGGATATTTGCCGGTTTAATTGCCGTGCCGTTGCGTCACACAATGTCAATTCGGCCGAATTTGCCTTGACACAATCTGTCGGGCTATTAGATTCCCAGGAATATGAAACGATATACGAACGAGCGATATATATATATATATATATATATATATATATGTGTGTGTATTCAGCATGCAAATAAGGCGTAATGGATGAAAAGCCGACGACACGCGATAAATCGCGCGCGCACACACAATTTTCGTGTATCGCCGAAACTACCCACGTACTTAGGAACAGTTTAACGTGTCTCTGAAAAATGTTGTCGAATTACTCTCATGCAAGCGCTCTCTAATTGTGACAGATTCCAATTAACGTCGATATGCGTTTACCCGCGGCATATGTTCGGCTGGAAATAAATGATCGTGAAAGGGTTAACTTGACGTTACAGACGTACCTTAATATATTAATACTGCGTTACAGCAGTGCGGTAGGACATCCGAAAAGTGCAATGCGTCGCATGAGCACTATCACCTTACACTATCACTGTGTTGGCACCGCCATAAATGCATCATCGTATCTACCGTGTGTCAGCGATTCCGGAACGTTCATCAATATACATGTCGAAATACCGGGAGATCCGCGTTACTACCGATACTTCTAGCACTACTATAGATGAACCGTTGGCCATAGTTCAAAATGATTCATGACAGGAACTATAGAGAATTGATGTTATACATTTCTATGTACCCCGACATTTCGAAATGATATATATATATATATTTTGTAGCGTCGTCGTCGTGTACGCTGGTATATAATCGCACCCTCCTACCGACGTTCTCCTCAGCCCCCGCCCAGCATTTTTTCGACAGGATCCGAAAAGAAAAACCGACGTACCGCACCACAACGTCACGTTCTGAATCGCGAGGAACCTACCACGGCGGCTATGAGCGCGCGAATCTGACCCCCCGGGGGGCCTACGCGCGCTGATAATCGGAAGCGCACGAGCTTACCCCCCCCGGGAACGTGCACATGTCGCGATCGTAATGCATCCTCGCGCCTTTTCGACGACGATGCCGGGCGCTAGGAGATATGACGTGGCCCGATCGAATGGTCCACTTTTCGCATCGCTAAGCCTCCACTCCCGTGGTCGATATTTATTGCGCCTCGGCCGAGGCCGAGGCTCGCGGACGCACCGAAGAAACCGACTCGATCGCCTCGCGTCCCTCGGGCCAACTGTTAATCGGCCTCGAGGAGGAAACACGCTCTCTCTCTCTCTCTCTCTCTCTCTCTCTTTCTCTTGCTCTCTCCCGCTGTTCCCTCCGCCGGCTAAAAATCGCCTCCTCCTCTCCCTACTCTCCCCGGCTCTCGATCGACCCACGCCGATTTAACGGCCGCCACGAAGGAGGGACGATCGCAGCACGACGTTGCTGGTGGTGTCGCGCCACTGACGGTCGTCCGTTTTTGGGGACGTGGACTCGCTTGCCATTGTCATTGTCCCCGTCCTCGTCGTCGTCGTCGTCGTCGTCGTCGTCGTTGTCGTTGTTGTCATCGTCGTCATCGTGGTCACCGTCGTCGATTCACTACGGCGTTTCCGCGAAGAGGCCACTCTCGCGGACGATCGCGTTACGCGGGAAGAAGGGAGAGCGACCGACGGGGAGAAGAGAGAGTGCAGCACGACGGGGTACGACACGGCGCGTCCGCGAGTATTTCCCTCCCCTATCCTACCCGTCGCATCACCCCGCTGCTGCTTCGAAGCTGCTTCGACCATCACCGCGACACCGCGGAGCAATGAAATGTCACAAACTCTATACTTTACTCACTCGACGAGTCAGGGCAGTGGAGCTTCATGAATGCGTCTCGCAGTACGTATCAGGCCATCGGAGCACGGCCGAGCTCGCGGCCCTTCTTCCGCAGCTTCGAGTCTAAAGCCACCGTCCGCACCGATACGCCGTTAAGGCAGCACCGCGCGCGCACACACCACCAGCAGCAACACCGCCGCTATCGCTGCCGCCGCCGCCGCCGCCGCCGCTGTCGTCGTCGTCGTCGTCACCACCACCACCGCCTCCATCACCACCACCACCATCACCTTCGCCGCCGCCGCCGCCGCCACCGCCGCCGTTGCTGCTACGAGCATATTTCTGCGGGGGGTAGGAGATGCAAGAAGAAACGATAGAAACGTACGGGTTAAACGGAGACGGAACGTCGGATGGGTAGGGAGAATGCGAGCACAGCGTTTGCGCGAGAGAGTAGAGCGGCAACGGGTGGGTCACAGAGGGGCCAGCACGCGGAAAACATGCGCACGAAAGAGAGGAGCGCGAGAGGACAGCCGAAGGGTCGAGCGAGAAGGACCTATTCCGCGTATGGAGGGGAACGGTCGGGGAACCCGTTGGTGGTGCACCCAGACCCCTCCCGCCTCCGATGCTGTACGTATGTACGTGGGAGTTTGTACGGGTATATCTATGTATACGGGTATGTGTGAAAGGATGTACGCGTGTGTCTGACTGTGTGGTTGTCTCCTACTCGCGCGCTCCCTCGCGCCCGAGGCGCGTTAGGGGGAGTCACGGCTCTCTATCCTCTGTGTACAAAACGCACATTCGCATGTATTTACGCATATACACTGGCGAGGCCGGGGAGAGGGCGAGAGAGGGATGAGAGAGGATCCAAAAATACGCGTGTATGCGCGTATATCTCTCCTCCTCCCTCTCTCTCTCTCTCTCTCTCTCTCTCTCTCTTCGCGGAGAAGTTCTATCGCTTCTCATCGTTCGCAAAACCGCGGAGCATGTATCGCTCTCGTAACCGCTCGCCCTGTCGCTTCCCGCATTCGGCCGCACCCTCTCCGCCTGGTCTCTCTCGCTTTTCCCCGGTCATCCTATCCGCCTTGTCGGAGAGGGTTGCGCGCGACCGATCGCCAGCGGAGATAGCCGAAGGCGAACGAGCACGCGAGAGTGGTGGCTGGATGGCGGGTGAGGACCGAGGTCGTCGCGGACGCGCGCTCGCTCCTCGGGGGGGAGGGTGAGTTTCGAGTTCCACGTACTGTTCGATGCCGGAGCCAAGTTTCAGGCCGGTCCTCGTAAACTCCACCAGCTATTGTCCTTCCCAGTCATTGGGTAGGTCCCGTGGTTAGGGATGGGCACTACGAATAACTAATATCGAGGTCGATAGGGTGCTCTCTCGCGAGTTGCCAACTTCGCACGGAGCGCAGTTAATGGAAATCGAACCAAGACCGTCGATAATTCCAATCGGAGATATCGATACAGGTCTACTACGGTTTACGCATGCAACACACATATATTTGATCGAAATATTTTCTAGCGAGTATCATAGAAGTCTCCGAGACGAGGTTCAGCAACGCCTGAGAGTTTTTAACATAGTCACCCCCCGCGCTCCCTCTCTCACCTCCGCCTTTCGCCACCCTCTTTTTCCTCATACGACTCCAATTTCACCGAGTCGTCTTTTCATTCCTTCCCCTCCGTCTCCCTGCCAGCGTTTCTCGGCATTCGCCACCAACCTCCGTCGCCCGGATCGCGAACAGCGTATGTTTAATTCATGCCGCGCGTTATGCACGCGAGCTAGGCAGCTCCCTGTTTTTCCATCGCCTTGTCCTTCGTGTTTTGATTTCCCGGCACGATGATGAAGCAGCCGCGCCGTGCGTTCCTCCGTCTCATCCTACTTCCTCTCTCTGTTTGCCTGTGCCAACTCCTCCTCGGTCGACGCACGCGTTGTGTCAACCGTTCCCATTTTCTGTCGCGAGCCTGAAATTATTGCTCGCAGTCAACGCGCTTGTCCTCTCTCTCTCTCTCTCTCTCTTTCTTCCTCCCACGCTTTCTCTCTCTCGCTCTCTTTCTGTATCTATCTTTCTACGTTATCCTTACGAGATCACCCACGTTACTTACTAACGACGGTGGACAGCGCGAACAGACTCGGCTGAACACGAAGCGAAAGACTAAGAGCGTGAGAACATTGTCGTGCCTACAAATTAGGTGAGAAGATCATGTATGTGTGTGTGTGTGTGTG